AGGGTTTATAAGGTTTAGGGGTTAAGGGTTTATAAGGTTTAAGGTGTAGGCTTTAGGGTTTAGGGCTTATAAGTTTTCGGGTTTGGGGCCTGTAAGGTGGAGGGCGTTTTAAGGCTTATGGGTTTATAGGGTTTGGGGTGTATAAGGTTTAGGGCTTGTGGGGCTTCGGGCTTAGGTTAGGGTTTTGCATTCAGGTCTGAGCTAGCTCAAGAAGGTTGAGAGCTCAGAGTTCTCAGTTGCATAAAATTGAATGACTAGGTTCCCCAGTGGCCCCTTAATTTTTTCGGGTACCCCTTTCCCTTCTATTGGGTTATTTTAAGGAGGGAACCCAAAAAGAAAAAGGGCAAAAGGGTACTACTGGGGAACCTAGATGACTATAGAAGCCGAAATGATGAGATCTTACCCCGAAACCCCATTCACTAAGTCCCCTTTGCTAGGGTCTAGAGCTTAGAGGGCTCCAGAAACCACAACCATTAAACCTAAAACCCTGAACCCTAACCCCAAAAACGGATTTAGGGTTTATAGGGGTTAATCCTAAACCCTACGTTCAACCCAACCCCGCAAACCCTACGCCCTAAACCTTGGAAAACCCTACGCCCGAAGCCGGAAAAGAGCCCCAATTTCCCTGACCCTCTGCAGCTGTCCTCAAGGATCTTCTGGAGAGGCGATGCCCAGTCGAGTTTGAAGATGACCAGACGCGTGGCTATGGCAAAGATGGGTTGGGCTAGCACCTGCTGCCACATTCCTGGGGTTCAGGGCTCTGGTTTTGGGGGCAAACGGTCTAGGATTTTAGGATTGGGTAAGGTTTAGGGTCTTTAGATTGGAGTGTTGCTGCATAATCTCCGGATTACCAAACCTTAAGCCCTAACCCCCGCACTCTGAACTTTGAGGTTCGGACACCCTGAGGGCAGGCCTACCCTAAGGCTCCATGTACCTATATCACCATATCCTACACACTTAGGCCCTAAATTACCTCTATACGAACCCCTGCAAGGCCTAAGTATATGCTATATAGGTACACGGAGCCTACGGGCTGGACACCCCTATAGCCCCAAGCCCTAAACCCCTGTGGCCTCTAAACCCTAAACCCTAGACCCTAGACCCTGAAGCTGTTCAACACCCACTTGGGGCTCCATGGCTTGCCCAGAAGCCAGGACCCGGGGTTTCGGCAGTAGGGCTTAAGGGCTCAAGGCTTTAAGCTTAAGGCTTTTAGGGATTAGGGTTTAGGGCTTAAGGCTATACAGGTTTAGGCTTAGGGTTTAGGGTTTAGGGCTTAAGGCTTTAAGGGTTTTGGTTTCAGGGGTTTAGGGTTCCGGAAGTGGGGTTCGAGGTTTGAGGTCTTTAGAGTTTAGGGCTTACCTGGACGACCTGTTTACTGACGTATTTTGAAGTCCCTAAACCCTAAACCCTAAACCCTAAAACCCTAAATAAGGGAGCCCTTAGAAAGTAGGGTCCTATGGGGTCCAGGCAGAGCTCGAGGCTTGAAGGGCTTAGAGATTTAGGGTTTAGGGTTTAGAGCTTTGGGAGTTTAGGGTTTAGGGTTTAGGGCTTTAGGAGTTTAGGAGTTTAGGGTTTTAGGGTTTAAGGTTTAGTGCTTCAGAGCTTCAAGGGTTTGTTTGCCAGGATTTGGGTTCTTCCCGGTAGACTCCTGACACAATGGAGCCTGGGGCATTTAAACGTGTTCTGCTTGTTTGGCGGTGTCGAAAGTACTCCGCTACTAGTCAAGGCCATGTGGCACGACGGATTCCACCTACTGACGCCACAACATGATCATATTAACCACATGTGCCCCACTCGGAGCACATTATAGTATAGCTCGGCTTTAGAATTATGGAAAGCTTGCTCAACAGCATGTAGACTCCTGTTGTGAGTTGCACACCAGCCTTCAAAACCAGAGTTGATGCGATCACACCGTAGAGGCTGATCAAGGCAGTAGGGAAGAAGGCGCTCTCCAACAGCGGCAGGTAGACGGTAAAGTACCCAGCAACATTCAGAAGCAAGCTCTCAACTAGTTCCCCCGCAGACCCCTGCAGAAGCAATGGAAACAGATGGAATACAACGATCGCGTAGAACATGGCAGTCCTCAAAGGGCATCCAGCTTAGCGACAAGATCACAAAGGTGCGTTCAGTGTTAATGGGGTGAGGGTTCAGGGTCAGGCAGAGAGGCCCGAAGACTAACATGCAAGCGATCGCCCATACCTGTCAGCCCTAAACCCCTAAACCCCTAAGGTCTGGTGCTGTCCAAGACTCAGAAGCAAGTTGCTTGCGTGGGCATCATGCCAGATGAAGGGGATGTTGCTTTCGAGTTGGGACCGGAAGCGCCAAGCCAAGTAAAGGGCGAATGGCAGTAGCACCAGATTGATAAGTCGAAGAATATTCGAAAAGGGCACACCGATCTCCAACACCACTTGACCGAACATCCTGTGTTCGTCTTGCACTTCTGGGGGTTTCCGGCTCAGGGCTGCCAGATAAAACGGGTCGAGGGCTTAGGGTGTCGTTGTGGCTCTGGGGTGTAGAGCTTGGGATTTAGGGTCCAGTGCTTAAGGCTTGTATCGGCTTCCCGCACTTCGATGAATTCAGCCGACATGTACAGAATGCCAATACATGACCCAGCGGCACGAGCACAGTGATCACCATCGTAGCCAGCCTCCCCGCGAGCGCAAAAAAGCACAAAAGCAAAAAGGCTCAGGGTTTAGGTTCTAAGGTGTAGGCCCTAAGCGTGGGCCTAGGGTGTAGGTTCCAGGTTTACGGTTTAGCCTTGGGTCGAAGGATGGAATCGGGTTCCCATAGGTGTATTTGGGGAGCGCAACAATGAACTGTAAGCCCCGCTACACCAAACCCCACACCCCAACCCTGGTTTTAGTGGCAGCCGTCGTTGTCCTCGTCGTCGTCGTCAGTAGCAGTAGCAGTAGCAGTAG